GTGAAGTTCTTAGTGATGAGTGCTGATTTATCTGTCCTGGATTCAGTGTATGTTTTCAAGTGGGTCACCACTTTCCCCAGAAACACTGCTCCGCAGTGTGGCCTGAGTGTGCTAATTGTCCTGTGTGCTAAGAAAGAAATGGGACATTAGTCAGTACCTGAATGCTAGTATTGAATATGCCTGATGAGTTTTTAAAATAATCCTCTGGCTATGTTGCATATTCTAAAAGTCTGTGAACTCGCCGAAACCGGTTTGGCTCAGGGGATAGAGCGTCGGCCTGCGGACTGAAGGGTCCCGGGTTCGATTCCAGTCAAGGGCATGTACATTGGCTGTGGGCACATCCCCAGTGGGGGTGGTGCAGGAGGCAGCTAGTCAATGTTTCTCTTTCATCAACATTTCTAGCTCTCTGTTCCTCTCTCTTCCTCTCTGTAAAAAATCAATAAAATATATTTTTTAAAATAAAATAAAATAAAAGTCTGTGAACTCATTGGAATTACCCAAATAGTACAAATAATAAAGTTTTAGCCCTGCATTTTAAATTCTCTATGGGTACAAATTCTTGTTTTGCTATTTGATAAAGTGTGTGAATTTGGACATGTTACTTAAGTTTATTTAACTTCAGCTTACTTATTTACCAAAAGAAAACATTATCTTTCACCTAGGGGTCTTGTGATAACTAGAGATCACATGCAAAATTAGAGTGGGGCTATTGCCCCACAGGAAGACAGAAAACCCTGTTCTTGGCCCTAGCATAATACTCCTCACGTGTCTGTAATGTTGTCATTCGCTGCTCACAGTCATGTGATGTGGCACAGATATTGCTAGGAAATTCCATCTGAATAGTAAGATGATTCACTCAGTATCTCACCCATAGTAAGTGATAGACTCGGGATTTAAAACCAAATCAGTCTGACTGTAAGAGCTAACTAAGTGATTCACTACTCTGTTGTGCTAGCTCCTTCCGATAACTGTTTATGACCTTTTTCTGAATGGAAAAGTGTCTTGCATGCCCTAACTCTGGTGTCTCTCCAGACTTCATTTCATATCACATATAACTGCCGTGGATTTAAAACATTTAGGTGTGACTGGCATTATTGAAACCTCTTACTCTGTAGCAACTAATTTATTACTATACTGCTATAAAACTTGCCTTTCTTTTTCAACACCCAGTTACTAACGACCAGGGCTTAAATTCATTGTTTTCACACCTAAGTTGTAGATAGCATTTATTAGCATATTTGCTGTGCTAGGATGGCTTATGGTAAGTATTGTACGTGAATATTGTGAGATGTATTTAGCTATTAGAAAAAGAAATAGCTGAATGCTTATTAAGATAATTTTCACAACTCATTTTATCCACAAATTTGTAGTCTCCAAGTAAAACACACCGTGGCTTAGCTGGTGGGCCATTATGAAAGGTGCTGTGTTCAAGTTCAAAGATAATCTTTCCTGTTGTCCTTCTAATCATGAACCACTAAGCTAACCCTAAACTTACTTAGGGTAAACATTTTTATAATTACTTCTTTCATCAGTGTTGTTTTTATTAAGCTTGTTTTTATTTGATTATTAGTGCTGCATCATTGACCAATAGGGAAGTATCATTTTGATAATTTATTACCAAAGAAGTAATTCTGGTATATAACATTCACTAATATTAATTTATTTATTTGTTTTTCTAGAAAATATATATGTGCATAAATTTGTGTGTGTGTGTGTGTGTGTGTGTGTGTACACACACACAAAAACACTAGTGTGGGCAAAAGTAGGTTTACAATTTTATAGGAAAAAAGACATGCAGGTTATGATTATTAACTTTGCATTTCATATACTCACAGCCGTGAACTGCTTTTGCCCACCACTTACAGTATACATTTCCTGCCAGAGGCCTGGTGCACAACATTCATGCACTGAGAGGAGCAGGGCGGGGCTCCCTCAGCCCGGCCTGCACCCTATCATAGTTCGGGGCCTCTCAGGGGATGTCCCGCAGTGGCCTACGCCAGCAGTAGGACATCCCCTGAGAGGTCCTTAGTGCTGCCACCACCGCCTGGTGGTCAATGCGTGTCATAGTGACCAGCTGTCCCCCTCTTCGGTTGATTTGCATATTAAGGTTTTATTATGTATCAAATACTAGGGATACCAACTACAACAACAAAAAATGAATAAAGCTGGTACATGCCTGTGGAAGCTCCTAGTCTCTGGTTATCTTTGTAAACATCTCAAAATAGACATTTAAAGATGATCATTAAAGATGCCTACCAATCCCTTGCACAATTAATTATCCAATAGTGCTTATCACTAGCACTAAGACCTTGACACTTGTAACCATTCCTTCTGAAAATTCTCAGAATATTGTGCTGAAGTGTATGTGTCTAACTAAAGTAAGACTGAAAGTTTACTGGGTCCAGTTAGAAGCACTTAGCTCTTTAAGTCTAGGGGTGGGTCCACATGTTAAAGTAACCAACCCTTCTACAAGTTGCAAGGACCAAGGAATGAAGTTCTATTTGTTCGTGCCTGATGGCCCCTGTGGTGGGGTTCCTTGCCCGGAGTCCTGTGGGCTGAGGCTGAAATGGGGAGCAGCTTCCCCAAGGCGGTTGTTCTGTATGGAGCAGCACGCATCTTGCCTCTCCAAGGCCAGAAACCTGCAACAAGCTTAAATCCCTCCTGAGCAGGCAGGCAGGTGAGCGATTAGGAGCCAGCAGTCCAGGATTGTGAGAGGGATGTCCTCTGAGGTGTCCCGGATTGGAGAGGGTGCAGGCTAGGCTGAGGGCCCCTTCTCCCGGCCGTGCACAAATCTCATGCACAGGGCCTCTAGTTTAATATAAGCAGATATCTTTCTCTTTGCTGTATTTTCATTTAGTTCTCTGATAAAGTAGTTGTCAGTTGGATAATATGAGTAATCAGAACAGTGCAAATGGATAATTTATCTACAGTTCACAGTGTCCCTTTTTTGGAGATTTGATTTTCTTAATTTATTACTTCACTATAATTAGAAAAATTAGGGTGAAGTAATATGCTTTTAGCACATATTTATATCTTTTTTTTTTGCACTGGCAGTAGACATATTATGATGAAGTCATTTTTAAAATTGTTACTAATATTTTCAAAAGTCTTAGTTGCTTTAAGATGTTTAACTTGTAACTAGTTTTTGAGGGTGAAAGGGGAAGACAAATAGTCATTCATTTGCTTTTTTTCTCTCTTTGGAGATTTCAGTTTGCTTAACATGGTCCTGCTCTATATTTTTACTGATTTTTCTAGAGTGTGTGATCACATCACCATGCTTGTTTTTCCAAGGAACCCCCAGGGAGAGTCTTCTAGTTAGTTATATGGTGATTTAGTACCCTCACTCTTCTTTTTTTAGAACCTTCATTCCTGAAGGCAGTTTACTCATCTCTGTGGTGATTTATTGTGAAAATGCCCACTGACTTTAAAGTCCAGGATATTTCACTTGAAGTAAAAACTGAGGGAGCTTATTTATTTTAAACATTCTCCAGTAGAGTTTAATGTAATGTACTCAGTATGGATTGATTTTGAACAGTCATTGTCTTGATTCCATTATTTTTTAAATAGCAAGTCAGCCCTTTGCCATCATGGCCTCTACCCTCCATGTCCCAGCCCCCTGTGACCCACTGTCACCTGTCCCTGGCTGCTGACCCTGCCTTCCCCCGCTGGTCCCGGAGGCGGGGAAGGCGGCAGGACAGGGGCGCAGCATGCCATGAACAGAAGTTAGAAATGCTGTGTAGGTTTGTTTAGTTTTAAAAAGTTATTTTATTCTTGGATTCAGACCTATTTTATTAGTAAAATAAATAAATAAATAAATAAATAAATAAATAAATAAATAAATAAATAAAACGGTCCTTTAGTTTTATGTTTCAAAGCGCCGTGCCAGACTTTTTGATACTTTGAGCCCACATGATGTAACAGGAAGAGGTTATGTGTAGCACCCCGTGTCAGGCCAGAACCAATAGGCTCTGCCCCATGTAAACTGCTATCTGGGCTATTGAAAGAAAACTTTAAGATTCATATTTCTTTGCAAATGCACAAAAGTAACGGAAGTAGCACATTTCCTCTGATTGTACAAACTCTAACCGCACAGTGAGCGCCAGGAAAGTGTGTGGAACCCTGGTCTCTTGAGAATTTAGCTATTGCAGGCTTCTGAGCTTTAGTTCAAGTTACAGGCAATTTCAAATTTATTTAATCTCAGCCATCATTCCAAAGGCTGGTCATTTTTAATTTTGTTGAGTGGGTGTTAGCTCTTTGGGAAGGCAAATTTGCTTTCCGCGTGCCGGCCATAGCAGAATCTCTGCTGATCCCTCAGATGGCAGTGAGACAGACAGATAAGGGGTGAACATATTTTATTCTGAAACTTCTCAGCAAGAACATTAAAGGTGGGTTAGCATTAGCTAAGTGCATTGACCTTTTTTTGTTTGTTTGTACAAATACAATTTCATATCTACTGAAAATATAAACTTAATTATAAACCTTATTTGCTGGTAATTTTAATTCTCCATAAGGACTGCACCTCGACACTTTTAAAGGAATTCTTCTGCTTGTCAAGTGTGATAAAGTGGTATACAGCTTTCCTTTTCAAAAAAATCTTAAAAGCTGGTCATATTCTGGGCGCTTTATGGAGATTAAACTAAAGTGCTATGGAAGCCCTCTGTCAAGCTCTTACATATAAAGTTTTAAATATGTAATGAATCAATGGAGGCAGAAATCTTGTTTCAACAATAAATCCGTACTTTTAATATTTTTCATTCCTCCTGTTTAATTTTGAATCTTGTTTAGTGTTTACTGCCTGTATCAATTTTGTTTGCATTTTCATTCTTGTAGTGTGTCCCATGAATTTAGTTGAATGTTGTAATTTATTTTTTAATTTAAAAGAATCTCACATCTTATATTAAACCATAGTAAGTACCAACCCAGACAAATTGGAACTTATATTAATTCTGGGAGGCATTTCTAAAATGAGTTGTTGCTAATGTTGTTTTTAATTTTAATAGCCTCAAGTACTACAGCCTTCCAGCAGCCTTCCCAGACCCACAGACCCCGCCCAGGGAAAACTAACAAGATGGCAGCCTAGCGAGGACCGCAGTGAGCACCCGGCCCAGGGCGCGCGTCCTGGGGCTGCACGCCGCCATGACAGCTTTGCACAGGACTCGCAGCAAGAACGCAGCGGTGGCCTGGAAGGCCGCCCTTTCTCTGCCAGCCCGCAGCTCTCTGAGGAGGTGGCTGAGAGTGCGCCTTCCGAAGCGGGCTGGGCCGTGACCATGGATGCTCCAGAGCCTTATCGTTTGGCAAATAATCCCATTAAAGACACGCAGGTGGTACCCACTTCTTCTCAAACACTCACCCCATCGAGTGCGGGAGACCAGGCTAAGAGAGGGGGAAGAAACCAGTCTTTACCGGAGGACGACACATCTCAGCTCAGATCCTTGCAGCTTCTGAAGCCATCCAACTTGAGTTCTTTGGTACCTCCTTCAGTTCCTGAATCATCGCCAAGTAGGACTCCCGCTTGTACGAACTCGCCAGTAATTGTACCATGTAATTCAGCAAAAATTCAGCTAACATCTAGTCAAACAAATCTTGTAAATAATCTAAATCCACGAGCATCTAAGCTCCGCCCTCCTTCTGGCTCTTTCAAACAAAAACAAATAAGCAACCCCCGACCAGAGCCTCAAAACTTCCAGGCCAAGACAAGCATCCCCAGGCCATTGGCAAGAAGGAAAGAAATCATGCAGAATCCCAATGGCAATTTGAATTCTGGGGATTGTCTATCGTCTAATCGATATTCTCGTCTTCCCAAACCAAAGATACACTAAGTACATAGCCATCACCTGCCAATATGTCTTTAAAAAAAACACCTGTTCTGTAATCACTTTACATGCAGTTTGCTGCCATGGTGGGGGTTCCATTAAAAGCTTGCGAATCTTAAAACATTAAAACATGGAATCTTCTACTCGTTTGGGCTCTTCCATTCTATGTCCTGGTCGAAGCACACAGCAGTGAAGTGTAATTGTCTTAGGTGAGCATTAGCTTTCCCGTCAGAGGCCCACAGCGGCTCGCCCATGGCCACTGCCGGCCACCAGGAAAGGCGCAGCCCTCCGGAGCTGGGGAGACAGGTCCGTGGCGCCCTCGTCCTCTTAGGTCTATATTGGTGTGGTCAGAGCCTCCCTCTTTTCACTAGCGCCTTGTGAACAGGGTTGGTTTTTAAGTAAAGATCTGCTGGTAGTGGGAGGTGGTAGGTAGTCTGTACACAGGGTTCTGGAAAGTTCTATGAGAAAGCTCTATGATGGACAAGGAGGCCTGGCCTTCAGTGGAGAGCTGTGAGTTCTGTCTTTCCTTGCTAGGATCAGCAGGCTGCTCTCAATATTAACTTACCGAGTGCCCAGGCTAAAATGTTTCATAGGCTGTATAAACGATAATTATCTACATATCACTCTAACATTTTGTTCATACGTGCACACCACTGTGTTTGCTTTTGGTACTTGATAAATTCTGGAAAGCTTAAGACATCTTGAAACCTATACCCTAAAGGTATATTCATTTGTAATGTTGGTGCTAGAGTTTTGCTGGTAATTCAGTTTTGGACTCTAGAGGCTTATGCATTCATGGTAACTGTTTTAAAATCCTACAGCGTATATTTTAAATTAAGTCTTTATTGTAATATGTATATTTATTGACTTTCTGCTAATATTTGAAGACCAGAATAATGGACTTGATATATTTGCACAAAATTTGGATGGGATATAAATACCCCATGCATAGGGAGTTAGACTATTTTCTGTAGCAAAAAAGGCTAAACTATGTTGGCAATAATGATAAATGGAAGTAGACCTTGAGAAAGCTGGAGTGCACAGCGCTACTGCTGAGTTTTCAGGGCCCCTTTATGTTGGTGTGTATTTGAATGTGAGTTTCTTAAAAAGTAGGTTTGGGAGAGAAATGGAACTAGAGAGTGGAAACTGCGTCCTGTGAAAGGGGTGAAAGGGTATTTCAGGGGCAGTACGCTTCCCTGGTGCCCCAGGAAGAGAGCTGGGGACGCTGCCCCGGGGCGCCGCCTCTCCGGTGTGCGCACTCCGACGCTCCTGCTCTCCAGGTCCTGGCGTCCGGAGGGGTCCTCCTGCGTGGCTCCGGTTAGTTCCTGTCTTTCGGAGAGATGGGCTTTCTCAGTGTAGATTTTGGTTGTGATCAGCTGACCAAAAATGTATCAAAAGGGGTTCTTAGCCACTCAGATTTCTAGAGATTCTTTTTTAAAATGTACACAGGTGAAATTGCCCCTTTTTAGAGAAATAACAGCAGTACCTCAGTGTAAATTTTAAAAATGTTGATTGATTACTACCATTTTCAGGGTTCTTCCCGTAGAGTTCCTGTGAATCTGCCCTTCGCCGGGGACAAACCATTCTTGGATTTGGTAGCAGGTGACGCCATACTCTCATTCGGCAGCACTTGTGTAGGAGAAACACTAAAGTTCAGAAACTTTTTGCATTGTCTGGAAGGCGTTGGTATCTAGACGCCGCAGCAAAGCTCTGAGTGTCCGCAGACGAGCAGCGGTGGCTGCAGCTGTGCGTGGGCACAGGCACTCCTCCGTTCGGAAGGAGCGGGAAAGCGGGCCTCATGTGTTATAAATGGGTGTTAGTACACTACAGAGCGGGTCCCCAAAACGTATACACCCTTTAACGGCTGGTGGCTCACGGAGTTCTCCCTCCTTTCAGATTTAACTGATTTGAAATATAGTGCTGGGTGAGGCCAGATTAAGCTTTGAACAAGTAAAATTTATCCTAAAATGCCACTAGATTTTTAATGAGGATTTTAAAAAGATAAAGTTTGCAGTCAACAAATTGGGGGCGCAGAAACATCAAACAAAATTATTCTTGATGTTTGCTTCCCGTTGTCAGCAGTGCCTGGACCAAACCAGTCATCAGTTTGAAAATAGGCATTAACAAAAAAAATATTCATTCCTATAGATTATTTTAAATTTTGAAAGTGGACTATATGTTAAGTAAACACTGACTTTATAGTAATTCAAAATGTATGTACACTTTGGGGGACACACTGTGTTCCCTACATACCGCATCCTGATGAGTCAGTAGGCTTGGCTGACTTGGGAGTTGATAGACACACCGTGAGAGGCCAGCTCTTTGGGAAGGACGGTGATGGCCCTGGAAGGCCGCAGGAGGACTGGAGACCCCGTGGAGGCAGCGGCCTAGTGCGGAGCAGAGCGGAGCGGAGCAGGTGCTGAGGACGGCAGGCATCGCCCGGTATTGGAGCTGACCAGCAGCCGGAGCACAGCAGACTCTGTGTCACAGTCATTAGTAGGCCTTTATCTTTAAGTGAAAAGTTTTAAATTTTTATATTATTTCTAACCCTCTAGTCTGAAGTCTGCAGTTCTTTTATTCGGATATTTTCCTGCTCTTTTTTCTCCCCAGTTAATATGCAGAAATATGAATGAACCCATCGTTTCAAACTCTCTGTACCTCTGTTGAGCCTTAGTTTTGGCAGAAGGCTCATCAATATACTTATGAAGCATAATACATTTAAGAAAAAAACATTGAGGATGCTTGCACAAAACCTACAAAGTATTTGCCTGCAGTTTCTTTAAAATGCAAGAATATTGTGTTAGGCTGCTCCTTAGTAAATGCTAAGTTGGAAATGAGAGGAGGATAGAGCTTGCCTGATTTGGCTTAATCTCTGTTTAATGCTTCTATATATCAACTCTGTCTGTCACTTAATGCACTTCCTTCTACACACACAGTGCACTCAGCCTTCACTGAGTAGATCAAGTCACTTTTATCTTAGTCCCTGTGATTTCATGAAGATGGTTGCAGTGCATGAATTCCAAGTCTGGGGATTGGCTAAGTCACACATCTGTGAGAGAGAAGAATTACTGAATATGTGTAGTGCATACATCGGGCTGTTAACATCGGGATGCACATACAATTCTTTAGAGAAAGCCTGGCGTGAGGAGTTGATCCCCCCGGTGCAGAGGGTTGGTGCACTAAAGGACTGTGTCATTTAGATGTGAAAGTCATTCTAAAGACTGAGGCCCTCTAACATTTCTCTCTTGTAGTCTCGATTTAATTTGTGCAGTATTTTCAAGCATATAAACTGTTTTGTATTTATATAGATATTATATATTAGGGAACCTATTAAATATTTTAACAGTAATAACCTGAATATGAAAGAAAATATCAGATTTGCACTTTAAATGAGCTTAACTGCTTGGAGCTGTGCCTGAAATATCTAAATGCCTCCTATTGGGAGTGACTTTTTTGTTGGAATAAATTTATCTCTAGCAGTTGCTGTTAGAAGTACAGTTGTTGACAGAATTACACCCTCCATGTGCCACTTTTCTCATAAAGCACTAACTTCTTTGAGTGTTTCATTGACCGCTTAAGTATTTCACTCTGAGTCAAGGAGAACATGACCCTCCTATGGCTGTCACTTCTAGTCTTCCTGTAGCACAGATGGTGCTAGGCACCTCCTGTGGAGCAGTTGTCCCCAGGGCACAGAGGATGGGCTTTGGAATCCCTGAATGGGCTTGCGCTGAAGATCAGCAAGTCTGCAGCACATTCTGTTCACTCAGATTACACAGTATTTCCGTGTTTATGGGTTAGTTGGGTGGGTTATGTTTGCATGCCTATGCACACATTAAAATTAATTACAAGCTGTAATACAAATACCTGGTGTTTTCCTTGGGGATGATGGCCTTGCTATTTTTCTTAATTTTGATATTTGAATTAAATTATCTAATTTCCACACCTCCTTTCAGTGTTTTTGCTGCAGGAATTTGAAAGAATACATTTGAATAATTGATTATGATGGTGGGTGACAATCTACAACTATGCTATTAATTAAAGATACATCAGATGTTTTAACTTGAGAAAAAGCTATCCATTTTCTCCTTGGTAAAGCATTGCCATAACAAAAACACTGACCTAAAGAATTTAAAGTCTCTAAGTCATTATTAACTAAAAACAAAAACACACCAGTCTTTAATATCTGCAGTATTGTTTTTCCCATTGATTTTTAAAAAGCCTGTTCACAGTAAATACTGTGTATTAGAATTTGCTTGTAAAATGAATTATAAAACTAAATGTAAAGTCTCCTGAAAATGTTGGTATAGTAAATAAAAATAAAGTGCATAATTATAAAACTTTTCTCGTTCTCAACGGCTTTTATAGTGTTACTTTTTCTTGGATATCGTTTTCCCACAGATTAAATACTATTTATTTGGTTGATTTTGTTTGTTTTCAAATTCTGTCATTTAACACACTTCCTTCTACACCCACACCATATGCCAGCCTTCATTGAGTAGTGTTCAATAATAGTTTGTTGTGTTTTCACAGGTTCCGTAAATTAGAATGCTGCATAAAAGTGGAAAATTTTTAATTGTTTTGAATGTGTACACCAAGCATGTCAAACTCAAAGGCTAACACGGGCCAAATAAGCAAGGTTTAAGTTTATGTGGCTGCAAAAACCAAAAGCTTCAATTTTCATAGAAACATAGATTTATTTTGATAGAGACATGCTGAATACAAATGGCTGAAATGAGTCATCATTAAAATAATATTTTAATAAAAGTCAATATTTTTTCTTGAACATTATTAACTTGACAGACACTGAATAAATGCACAAATTAATAAACTGAAATAAATCAATTTTTCTTCTCCGAAGTGAAATATTTCCTGTTGTGCATAACCAACAAGTCAGTCCAAGACTAAAGATGTGACCATCGGCTGCTAAAGTATTCGCTGCTGGTATTAGTGTCGACAGGTGCATCTGTGCGTAAGACGCAGAAGGGAAATGAATGCAACATGATTAT